TAATAAATGTAACAGCAGAATACGTCCTAGCACAGTCACTCTACTGGGAGAGTGACTGTGGTCCTAGTAATAAACTAAGTGACTTCTAAAGACTGAATAGTGTTTACGAACTTCGTATTAGTTATAAACCGACGTTAGCTGCACGTTTATGTCACACCATGGAAACAGCCAAAACATGTTGCTTGTTTTTGAGCGGAGCGGATCGCCAACCAGTCTACCGGCTTGTAACATTTACGTACAAGTTAAATACGGTCACGTGATTGTTATGACATATATGAGTGTCGTAGTTGTGAAAGAACAAAATGGTGTGTTTGTTTCTAAGTATTTATTGCTTACATATACAAACATATCACAACAATGTTTAAAATGTAACAGGTACAAGTAGAATATGATACTATTCTTGGTTTTAGATCACATGGAATTAAATAATAATTAATTTGTTAACAACTGTTTCCTAAATTCAAATGCTTTGAACACACACAAATATTTCGTATTGTTGCTTGAACGAGCCTTTGAAATTTATCCACGGTTGGTTGGAACACAGTCCTTCTATAGAGTGAATAATGTTGGGGGATTAACTCTCGTCTTAATGTGTTATAGGCTGTACAAATCAACAGAAAATGACAGAAAATTGTGTTGAGGACGATGTGTTTGTAGTGACTGTGGTCAATAAAATTCTTGCCAAGAATGAGATTAATATTATATTAATTAACAATTAATATTATATTTGATGTCAGTCACACAGACACAGACGAAATACACTTCTGCCACAGAACCAGAATGAATGACACATTGTATCAACTTATGTTTCATAGAATATGCATAGCGAACAACTTAGAATCCGCTTGCTCGATTTTGAATTGTTCAGAGTAAAACTGGAATATTCGAGTTCTAAAATTGATTGTACACTTAAAATGAGACATATCCCTTTAAAAAATTCTCTCCATTACATCATGGTTCAATTAATTTGTTGTATTTTATTACAATAATTGCAGAAATTCTTTAAACCAGTAGCTGAAAAACACAATAACACAACTTGAAAATTAATCGAAACTCCAAAAACTCTTTTGAATGTATTTTAGTTCCGCATTTTTTTTTGTAAATGTACCATATATTTATTGAGGTTTGTTTTAAAAGAGACGTTATCGATGATATATGAATTGTGCCAAATGATACTTTCAGAATGAATAACTAACTGGTCAGAATAAAGATTCCAAGAGTACCAAACTTTTACCATTTCACAATGAAAAGGAAACGTTCCGGACTTCGGAATACTGTATTCAGAGTACATTGAATGAGAGGTCGTTACCGTAAACACACACTTACATAACTGCATTAATGATTCCATTTTTTTAATTTTTTTTATTTATTTTTTATTAGACGCATAAAATCATTAGGAAAGGATAAAAAGGGTCTTACAGAAAGAAATAAAAAAAAAAAAAAACTACATGTTAGTTCCATGTTAGTTAAAGCGCGGTAGTCGTCGCGCTACGCATGTGCGACATTTGTGTTGATAAACATTGATTTTCCCACAATCTAATGCGTTCTTCAAATGGAAATCACAAGTATGAGGTTTGACCTGGGCGCGACTTGCACTGATTACCGACGGTAACTCCTTCGATACCTTTCAATCACATGAAAATTGTCTAATTAAAACTTGGAAACGTCTCAGTTTGTACTCGTTGATCTGCGCAACAGTCAAAGTCGCCATCTTTGTTTATATGAGACTCATATATCTCGCACATGCGAATCAAAGAGCATTTTATTGTTCGTACTATTTTAATTACTATTAATGCAAGTTATATTACATCTCTAAATACCACAGAAACTGGACTGTATTTTATTGTAATCATAATATTGTTACTATGGTATACTTACAGTCTGCTAGCTGTGGCTGTGAGTATCTTCTATCGACAGTACATGGCACAAACACGGAATGTCAAAAATGTCAGGATATATTATGTAATTTTAACTTAAATTTTGGCTGACTTTACTAATTTCACTTGATACCTTTGTTATTATTGATAAAAACGAAATAATCAAAATGTTTTGATTTGCATTTACAGTAGAATGTTGTTTGTATATGCATTTTAGTTGAACTCACATGTAACATAATTTAGGTCGACATCGCAAACGTGAAGCAATAACGAATCGGAAGGATACAACATTATTCTAAAACGAGGACGCTAGTCACTGCTGTCAGGTTGACTGTGTAAGTTTTTTGAAATGGATTCAAATCATCAATATTGACAATTTAACACTTGTCGGATCGTGGTGAATTTTCTCTAGATAAAAGAAACAAAAAAGAAAACACTGAGGGTAAGTACAGTTCAGCAGCGTCAATTAAAAAACTCTTCATTTTCCTAGCACGTGACTGTTTGAGGTTATTATTCGGCGTTGAATAACATACTCTATGGAAGTATAAGGTGTTATGAGTTATTTTTAAAATAGTTTTAGAAAAAGTCTCCACACACACTAAACTAAACGTTTTTAGATCACGGCTTTTTTTGTTTCTCTCCGTTTATTGGAACACCCGGCCTAAAATTCATCGGAAGGATTTCAATTGGTTACATAACAAATACAAATAACTGAAGGACAAGAACACAAATACAGTACTGATTACACTCAAAGACAATATGGCTGTCCTTAAATTACTAATATTGATAGAATCAAAGAAACCAGATATCTAGGCTGGTAAAAATAAGTTATAAAATCGTGTCTAGTGATTATCACGATAAAGCAACAGCAAGCAAGTGTTTTACTTTTATTAATTAACGCATTCCGTGTCAGTACATGCTCTATTTTTCTTTATTTGTTTTTTTGTAACCGATCTAATTTTTAAAAAATTATTGTGTAATGTCTTTCTGACTGTACAAGTAGGTAGTTTAAATTAAACGAGTTTTCACATAACATAGTTATCGTGAGTTAGTGTTGCCCTTTTTTATAATGCATTTCACGTACATGGAATGGTATTTTTTTTATTTCATTGGTATTTCCGTTTGTGAAGTATGTCACTGTATTTAATTTATACTTCTGAGCTGAGACTGAGAGATCAAAACATACTCGACCTGCTTCTCATTGCCCAGAATGCATTTCGAAATTTCCGGTAGCCATTTTGCCATTGGTCAACAATACTACGAAAACTTCGATAATGCGAGACATACGATAAATACCATCAGAGTGTGACATAAGCGGTTCTAGTTCACCAAATTCGCGTACACCATATCAGGTATGTTGTACTCTATAATCGCAGTGGAATATCCATTTTATACCTTCTCAGCCGCTGTATGCCCATGGCATCGTAAGCTGTGATCCATTCCCGGTAGTGTTACGCCCGACGCCGTGCTGGTCATTGTTATGTAAAGCTGTCTTCGTCAATTACTGGTTCTGAATATTCGTATTCACCATGGATGAATGGGCCATGCGAATATTGTAAAATTAATCCCCGTGGACAATGTTATCATGCGTTAGTAAGGCGAGAGCAGACGTGAAGTTTTCGAGACACACAACTTTCTCATTCCGACTAATTTTTGGGTTCCAAGGCTACAAAACTACAAATTCAATGGATTTCTAAATGGATTTCACTGAATCTATTCAAAAATATATCGGGTTTATTATTTTTAATATTCAGTATTACAGAATATAGACGGTGATTGTCTCGTAGTAAGCCCTGGCCAATAACAACTTATAGAATAAATTTATTACCAGCAAGTTTACAAATAAATTAATGATATTTCTAATATTTTACCCTGATACCATTGCAATCAATTTGATTTATGCATGTTATAATTACGCATATGTAGATCTATGTATAATATCGCTGTTATTGACTGCTAGGTTTTGGGCCTACTCTTAACCAGGTTGGTATGAAGAACATACATCTATGTTTTTTTGTAAGCTAATTCAATTAATTCCTGGTGATGTGATTGTGCTTATTACATCCATGCTTACTTCTCGGTGAAAAGTAAAACAATGGAACACTGAAAATCCTCAATGGGGTCAAAACTCTCAATTTTTTCATGAAAGGGGCTGGGTCTGTGGGTGTGATGATTCATCAAAGCCAAGGTCATTATGTGAATTTCAATGAGTTTGTTTGCATAACTGTTTGTATCACATTAACTGTTTATCTAAATGGAGTTGTAATCCTATTTATGTGATGTAGTGTCTGACAAAGAACAATGGAATTGTGAAACTAAATGGCTTATTTTTCCATTTCATGCCCATTTAAAAAATATATCAGGATTTTCTAAGGATGTCTAATTTTGGATAAGCTTTTCTTGATTTTTTTAATGTACTTTTCTTTTATATTGTTGTTCATTGTATTTTCCTCAAAAAATGGTTAAAACATGAGAGAAAATGATAACCACTCATACGGTAAAATACTCGCATTATTTTTCAATATTTTGTTTGGTAACCTAGTTATAAAATGGTTATTTATGATTTCACAAAATTATTAGAAAATTTATATTTTATTTTTAAATTCATGTTAGTTTTTTGAAATAACATTTATCCTATTTCTAGGAAGACATCTGTTCTTCAATAAAATATTTTGTACTGGGTAAAAGAAACAAAAGCGGACAGCTTATTTTTTTTATGTTTATTTATTTTAGGCTGAGGGAAATTTATCGTGTTTTCACCAATTTTTTGGCTAAAATTGTTTTATTCATACAAATGATGGTTCCACCTACAAAAATTAATTTATTTGGCTCCCTTCAATGTAATGAATGACTGGAAGTGACTGTTAGGAAATCCTCAATAATGACGAACTGGATGGTCATTTGTGATGTATTAAAAATACATTGTTGTGTTCTAAACATAATTTTTAAAAAGGTACTCTATTAAAAAAAAAAATCCTGCCAACCCATTTTGTTACTGGAAATGCAGAGATTTTTTACTTAGTCTTAGCAACCTCTTCGTTGTACTTGTATTGTTATTGAATGTGAAACTGCATCAACAAAAATGAATATGAAACTTACCACAAAATTATATGTGCCGACCACCACCAAGACCTATGTCAGCTCACTGAGCTTCCTATTGCTTCCAACTTATTAGAAAACAATCGTTTTTTTATATTTTAGTTCTGCTCATTATGAGTATGAAACGTGGCGGCGTGCCCAAAATGGGTGATGTGAGTCACGTTGGGGCAACCTCCAAGTCATACCAACCAGAAAAGGTACCACGAGGTGGACGAAGCAGTGGTAGTGTTGGCGGTGATGCAGTACCGCCAATGTTGCCCCAGACACAAATAAATAATGATATAGAGGACAAAGAGGAAATGCGTATGCGCGAGTTAGAAGAGGCCAGGGCAAGGGCCGCACAGATGGAAAAAACAATGAGGTGGTGGTCAGATTGCACCGCAAACTGGCGAGAGAAGTGGGGTAAGGTGCGAGCGGAGCGCAACAAATCGCGAGATGAATGCAGGCAACTACGAATGAAAGTTGAAACAACTGTCAAAGAATGTGCTGCGCTCAAACGTGAAAAAGAAGAACTGATTCGGGAGAATGAAAAACTTTGCAAAGAACTGCACAATGTGCAGCAGTCTGAGAAAGAACAAGCAAGTAGCATAAGTAGTGAAGGTAGCACTGCATGTAATAAACAGTCACTGAATATACCAGAAAGGGACACTGATCCCATACTCTTGAACGAAGCCTCTGCGGCACCAGACAATGAACTTTTTTTGCAAGGTATTAGCAAAACAGAGAAAGTCACAAAGAATGTGAATCAGGATAAAATTCAGTTGCCTTCCCCGGATGAAGAGTTAGCCGAACAGAAAGTACTCATGATTGAAATGAAGCTGGAAGAAGCAACAAAGACAATACAAGTAGAAAGAGAGTAAGTGTTATGATTTTCAATCAAATGAATGTCTTGTATATAACATTTTCATATAATGTCTTGTGTTAACATTTGCATGTAAGTCTGATTTACTGCAACCAAACAGATGTCTTGTGTTAACATTTGTATGTAAGTCTATGATTTACTGCAACCAAACAGATGCATTGTGTTAACATTTGCATGTAAGTCAATGATTTACTGCAACCAAACAGATGCATTGTGTTAACATTTGCATGTAAGTCAATGATTCACTGCAACCAAACAGATGCATTGTGTTAACATTTGCATGTAAGTCAATGATTTACTGCAACAAAACAGATGTCTTGTGTTCACATTTGCATGTAAGTCAATGATTTACTGCAACCAAACAGATGCATTGTGTTAACATTTGCATGTAAGTCAATGATTCACTGCAACCAAACAGATGCATTGTGTTAACATTTGCATGTAAGTCAATGATTTACTGCAACAAAACAGATGTCTTGTGTTCACATTTGCATGTAAGTCAATGATTTATTGCAACCAAACAGGTGCATTGTGTTAACATTTGCATGTAAGTCAATGATTTACTGCAACAAAACAGATTTCTTGTGTTAACATTTGCATGTAAGTCGATGATTTACTGCAACAAAACAGATGTCTTGTGTTAACATTTGCATGTAAGTCAATGATTCACTGCAACCAAACAGATGCATTGTGTTAACATTTGCATGTAAGTCAATGATTCACTGCAACCAAACAGATGCATTGTCTTAACATTTGCATGTAAGTCAATGATTTACTGCAACCAAACAGATGTCTTGTGTTAACATTTGCATGTAAGTCAATGCTTCACTGCAACCAAACAGATGTCTTGTGTTAACATTTGCATGTAAGTCAATGATTCACTGCAACCAAACAGATGCATTGTGTTAACATTTGCATGTAAGTCAATGATTTACTGCAACCAATCAGATGTCTTGTGTTAACATTTGTATGCAAATCAGTGATTTACTGCAACCAAACAGATGCATTGTGTTAACATTTGTATGTAAGTCAGTGATTTACTGCAACCAGATGTCTTGTGTTAACATTTGCATGTAAGTCAATGATTTACTGCAACCAAACAGATGCATTGTGTTAGCATTTGCATGTAAGTCAATGATTTACTGCAACAAAACGAATGCATTGTGTTAACATTTGCATGTAAGTCAATGATTTACTGCAGCAAAACAGATGTCTTGTGTTAACATTTGTATGTAAGTCAATGATTCACTGCAACCAAACAGATGTCTTGTGTTAACATTTGCATGTAAGTCAATGATTTACTGCAACAAAACAGATGCATTGTGTTATCATTTGTATGTAAGTCAGTGATTTACTGCAACCATATGTCTTGTGTTAACATTTGTATTTAAGTCAGTGATTTACTGCAACCAGATGTCTTGTCTTAACATTTGCATGTAAGTCAATGATTTACTGCAACAAAACAGATGCATTGTGTTATCATTTGTATGTAAGTCAGTGATTTACTGCAACCAGATGTCTTGTGTTAACATTTGCATGTAAGTCAATGATTTACTGCAACCAAACAGATGCATTATGTTAACATTTGTATGTAAGTTAGTGATTTACTGCAACCAAACAGATGTCTTGTGTTAACATTTGTATGCAATTCAGTGATTTACTGCAACCAGATGTCTTGTGTTAACATTTGCATGTAAGTCAATGACTTACTGCAACAAAACAGATGCATTGTGTTAACATTTGTATGTAAGTCAATGATTTACTGCAACAAAACAGATGTCTTGTGTTAACATTTGTATGTAAGTTAGTGATTTACTGCAACCAAACAGATGACTTGTGTTAACATTTCTATGTAAGTCAGTGATTTACTGCAACAAAACAGATGTCTTGTGTTAACATTTGCATGTAATTCAATGATTTACTGCAACCAAACAGATGCATTGTGTTAACATTTGCATGTAAGTCAGTGATTTACTGCAACAAAACAGATGCATTGTGTTAACATTTGTATGTAAGTCAGTGATTTACTGCAACCAGATGTCTTGTGTTAACATTTGCATGTAAGACAATGATTTACTGCTACAAAACAGATGCATTGTGTTAACATTTGCATGTAAGTCAATGATTTACTGCAACAAAACAGATGCATTGTGTTATCATTTGTATGTAAGTCAGTGATTTACTGCAACCAGATGTCTTGTGTTAACATTTGCATGTAAGTCAATGATTTACTGCAACCAAACAGATGCATTATGTTAACATTTGTATGTAAGTTAGTGATTTACTGCAGCCAGATGTCTTGTGTTAACATTTGCATGTAAGTCAATGACTTACTGCAACAAAACAGATGCATTGTGTTAACATTTGTATGTAAGTCAATGATTTACTGCAACAAAACAGATGTCTTGTGTTAACATTTGTATGTAAGTCAGTGATTTACTGCAACCAAACAGATGACTTGTGTTAACATTTCTATGTAAGTCAGTGATTTACTGCAACCAAACAGATGACTTGTGTTAACATTTCTATGTAAGTCAGTGATTTACTGCAACAAAACAGATGTCTTGTGTTAACATTTGCATGTAATTCAATGATTTACTGCAACCAAACAGATGCATTGTGTTAACATTTGTATGTAAGTCAGTGATTTACTGCAGCCAGATGTCTTGTGTTAACATTTGCATGTAAGACAATGATTTACTGCAACCAAACAGATGTCTTGTGTTAACTTTTGTATGCAAGTCAATGATTTACTGCAACCAAACACATGTATAACGTCAGTTATTTTCACTGTGATCATGGTGGTTTTTTGGTACTTGTAATTTCAGCATAATTTCTTGAATGTAAAATTGTTCATTGACAAATTTGCCTCTCAAGAAATAATATGGTTTACAGTATGTTGAAAGTTTGTACACAGCCCATTATAAGATGTACATGTAATTTCAGTTTCGATGTGAGAGTGGGAGACAAATCCACCGTCCCACACAATAGTGATTATTTCATGTCCACATCTCTCAACACAAACATTTTGTTTGTAACATAACACAACATAACTTGACACAAGGGACTTTTATTTCCTTGTAAATTCATATTTTCTCAGTTCCAAAGAAGTCCTTCATAAAGAAATTGAAAAACTACAGAGTGAGTTGACAAGCTTAAAAAACAGGCAGGAAGAAATGAGGAAATGTAAAGATGAGACATTGAAAGAGGTGTGTGCTTCAGCAATAATATTTGTGTTTTCCTGAATATTGTAAAAGCATTTCATTTACATTTTTACTATTCTGATATTTGATCATATTATCTTTCAGTTCCTGGAGTTTAATTACATAGTTTTCTTTTTATTTATTTTTTATTTGAGTTTAGCAAATTTCACTTATCAGCAAAAATACAATAGCAAAATTAAAAGTGTTGTACACTACACTGAATGTGTATTTACTTAAAGTTTTTAAAATTAAGGGTATGCACTATATATATCAGGTATGGTGATGTACAATGAGGATCTCGCAAGAAACGTACTCATGCATTTTGCGATCACTTGAAAGCAAAAACACTATCAAAAATGGGTCTCAGATGAACACAAATCTTTTTTTCACAGGCTCACTAATTTACAAGAATTTCTTGAAATTATCTCACAATTTGTGTGACTATTTCAATTGCATGAGATCTTTATTGCATATCGCACTACTTACATATACCCTCTCATAAGTCATTGATTCACATCAAGCAACTCATTGAATGATCTATTTACCCACTATTTTAGTCTGCTTTTGCAAAACGAATCTGCTTAAGTATATATTTATTCAAAACTAATTATGAAACTATTTTACGAGAAAACTTGACATTACTTGTTTTTGTAGTTGAGATGTTTGTTAATGCTTTAATGTAATATATATTTCTATTCACCAGTTGTCTTTACTAAAACAAGAGCATGACATTGCTTTGGGCCGTATAACATCTGATTTGGAAGATGAAACTAGCACGCGTAGTAACATGGATAGAAGATTAGCTGATATGCGAAAACAGGTATACTAACTGTCAACAATGAGCAGTGCTCAAACCCAGGTGTTTCCTTATTTTGCTAAATTGTTAGCATGTTTTGATGATGAAAGAGGAGTGTTGTTCTAGCTGTCGCTGCTAACTACATGAATCATCTGTCATATCTAACTTCGTCATTCATTAAAGCTATTTAAATTGTGATAAAAATTGTTAGTGTTGATAGTAACTTAAATGTGTGAACTGTATAAAATATGTTGTACACCTCATCATATATTAGTCACCCAGAAATTCAAATGATACGGGTCCCATGCTACATTAACAATGCAAGTAAAATCTGAACGTACTATATGATGACACAATTTGTACAGTTTTTTTAGTATCAGTGTACCTTCATATTTTAACAGCTTGAGCGTCTACAAGCAGAGAATGCAGCTGAGTGGGGAAAGCGTGAACGACTAGAAACTGAAAAATTGGCCTTAGAAAGAGAAAACAAGAAGTTGAAAGCTCTGCTAGAAGACTTGGAAGAAAATTTATTGAAAAAGAATAAACTAGCAACAGCGGCGATGGATTCTGACTTCAAACAGAACCAAGCTGAATTATTCGAAAAAACTAAGGTATGTGTTCATGATGGATTAGAATTCAATTTCTGAATAAATTACCTGCAATTTAGACCTGAATTTGGTTTCTATGCAAATTCATTTTACATGCGAGTTATCTACATGAACAGAATGAAAACAAGGCTTAGGCCAGGAAAAAAAATTCTGGTGAGAGGTGGCGAGGCTTTTTTGAATACTGAGCTAAAATGGGGGAAATTTGAGACAAGTGCGAGTACAAGCACATTTTGGAATGCTTTAGAAAGAAAGCGTTTGTGGCGCATTGTGCGCAAAAACGAGAAACAGAGATATTTTTTTTTTCTCAGCCTTAGTATAAATGTATTCACTTGATTAATCACATGGTGATACTAGGTATGGTAACATACTATATATTTTCATAGACCTTCCAGTAGACCCTCCTCTACTGGAGGGTCTATGATATTTTCTACTAGTATTTAATAAAATTTTAACAGTAATCAGTTCTCTACTGCTCCACATTGGATAAAAATAGTAATATTTTGTGACACAAGCACAATGTCAAGCTTTGATTCCTTACAGACTACTGTAAAACATATCTTTTAGGTAGTTTAAGATAATTTAGCATTTTATATACATGTAAAATGTAGCTAATTTAAAATAAAGTACATTCTCACAATAAGATTGTTGGTACTTTAGCTAAATTTTTAATTTTGTTTTCATACATTAAGTCAAACTCATTAAAATGGCATGTAGCTATTTGAAAGTGTTTTATGCTAATTAAACAAATATGTTAATGAGTCCTGGGTGTGAAATACTCTTGAGTTGTCATATGTTAGTATCTGTATTATATGATGACTGTGTGCTGTTGGTGGCATTTATGTTGTTACCTGATACATATACTTATTAACTTAGTTTCTTATACTATTGTTACAGGAAGTGGCTGATCTCAGACACAATCAGATTAAACTGAAAAAAATACTGCAAGATAAAACAGCTGAGCTTGGACATGCACAGCGACAGGCAGAACAGCATGAATCAGAAGTGAAAAAACTCAGAACCCGAATTGAGGAATTGAAAAAAGACTTTGCAAGATCTGAAGATGAGGTAAATTAAAAACTGGATTGATTCTAAATGTGACTTTCAGTTTTGTACTACTTGAATCACTATCCAACTTGTGAAGGATCGACCCTGCTTAAGGTAGCAAGACTATTATTTGTGTTGAAAATTACGATTTTCACATTTATTTATTAATTGATGAAATGCACTATAAACTTTCATCTGACAAAGTCAATGTAACCTAAAATGTCATGTAAGTTGGTTAAAATGTAGATTTTCTGAAGGGAAGCAAGGCAGCTTCAGTAGTGTTTTTTAAAATCAACAACACAGGTTTAATTTGTGTGCCTATAAGTTTCAAAGATTAACTCAAGACAAAGCAATGTTAGGATGTGTTATCAGTAGCTATCTGACACACAATGAGTGTTTCCAAACATTTGAGTGGTTTGTCTCCGCCCCTGTTTATTTCACAGATTAGTCATTTGCATATGAATATGTCAGACACAAGGG